GCAGGGTCCCCCTTGCCATCAGCCATTGCTGCCAACATCACCTGTGGAGCAGCAGGGTTGGGGAAAAGGGGTGAGGAGACAAACTGGGGCAGCTGAGAGGGCTGCGATGAGCAGCAGTGGCAGGTCCGCTTGCTGTCACCTCCCTGGGACACTCCAAGTATCACAAAGCTGCTCCTTGCCTGTCACCAGCTGCAGTCTCTCTATCCCTTGCACTGTCCCCTCTGATCAACACCAGCCGTTTTCCTCAATCCCAGTTTCCTTCCAGTACCAGGAGTCTCATCTCACACAGGCTGAGAAACTCACCATGAGTCGGCAGTGTGCGCTAGCAGCCCAGAAAGCCAATCGAATTCTGGGCTGCATCAAAGTAAGTGTGGCCAGAAGGTTGAAAGTGGTGATTCTCCCCCTCTACTCTGCTCTCGTAATGGAAAGCCAATGGAATCCTGGGCTGCAGCAAAAGGAGTGTGGCCAACAGGTCAAAAGAGACAATTCTCTCCCTCTGCTCTGCGCTCGTGAGAGTCCACCTGGAATACTGAGTGCAGTTCTGGTGCCCTCAACACAAGGACATGGAACTGTTGGAGCAAGTCCAGAGGAGGCCACAAAGCTGCTAAGAGGACTGGAGCATCTCTGCTATGAGGACAGGCTGAGGAAGTTGAGGCTGTTCAGCTTGGAGAAGACTTCTCAATATCTGAAGGGGCTACAAGGGAGTCAGAAAAGGACTCTTTGTTAGGAACTGCAATGATAGGACAAGGGGTAACGAGTTCAAATTGAAGGATAGGAAGTTTAGAAAGTTATTAGAAAAAAGGTTTTTCTTGGTGAGACACTGGCACAGGTTGCCCAGGGAAGTATTGGCTGCCCCAGCCCTGGTGGTCTTCTTGAGCAACCTGGTCCAGTGGGGAGGGATTCCTACCCATGGCAGGGGGTTGGGACTAGATGATCTCTAAGGTCCATTCCAACCCTTAAAATTCTATGATTCTATGATTCATTCCCCTCTTTGCCCCATCCAGGCGGCTCCTGCAGCTCCCCCAAACTCCACCAGCTCATGGGATTCATCACTCCTCAACCTCCTCCCTCTTCTTCTCTTGCTTCCCTATCCGTGACAGAATCACCCCAATTTCTCCCAACACA